GTATCTTGGTAATTTGGTCATTTTTGGAAATTTGGCAAATTTGGATGTATTTAGCCAAATTTGGATCAATTTTGGGTAATTTGGCAAAATTTGGGAATTTTAGCCAAATTTGGGTCCCAAGGGTAGTTAGGTAATTTGGAGGTGCCTCGGGGCAAAAGACCAAGTTAGGCATTTCACATAGAATTGGATAGATATCCATTCTAAATGAACCATGGATTAATATATTGTGAAGATATGGAGTACCCTAGTTCCAAGTCAACACCCAGGGTCAATCCTAAAGCCAACAAGTAATCCTAATTCTTCTTGAATTCTCTTATAATGATCTTATCTACTAAATGCTAGAGGTTAAGATCATTATGTGAAATTTCAAGTTTAGTAAAAAGAAGAGTTTTGAATTTCTAATGGTGGGGGTACCTTTTCTAATTTTCTAAGACTAGTCAATAGGAAAGTCCTATGGCTAGACCTAGGCTACTAAAAAAGTTTTCTAGACCTCAACCAAAAGTGAGGTCAACAGGCTATCACCAGAACGAAAAGTTTAGTTTGACATTGAGGTATAGCCAGGGACATCTCCAATTTTCATGTCTCCTTATAGAATGACTTCGAAATAATTGTAAATTTGAAATGCCAATTGCAGGAACTTATAGATTAGAATTTTATTAGATCAAGTAATTTATCTTGGAGTGCTCCAGTATTGCTTGTCAAGAAGAAATACAGATCTATGTGGCTATGCACTAATTATAGAGAGCTGAACAAGTTCACAATAAAAATAAATATATTGCCTAGAATTGATGATTTATTTGAACAGTTAGAAGTGCCACTGTATTTTTTTTTGGATTAATCTGAGATTAGGATATCATCAGGTTAGAGCCAACGAGGCAGATATAACTACGACAACTTTGGCAGTAGGTATGCTCATAATATATTCTTAGTATTGCCTTTTGGCTTAACCAATGCTCATGTTTTATTTATGAACCCGATGAACTGAATTTTCAAGCCTTATGTAGATTAATTTGTCATTTTCTTTATTGATGACATTTATATATATTCAAGAATTGATGATGATCATGCCAAGAATCTGAGGATATTATTGGAGCTACTGAGGCATAATCAACTAAATGAAAAATTGTCAAAATGTTAATTTTGGCTAAGAAGTATTGCATTTTTGGGAATATTATCAGTAGCCAAGGAATCTCAATGGATCCTCAAATGGTGAAAGCAATTGTAGAATGGTTGACTTCTAAGAATGTTACAGATACGTAGTTTTTTATAGTTTGGTTGGATATTACTTGATATTCATTAAAGAATTTTCATAGATAGCTATGCTATTATCTAGGCCGATGAGGAAAGACATTCAATTTGAGTGGACTACTGAACGTGAGCACAATTTTCTAGGGCTAAATTAATTTTTGACTACTGCGCCAGTATTAGCTATTCTATATCATATATAGAAGGGTTCCAAATTTATAGCGACGCGTCGTTGCGAGGTTTGCTCCCTCTCACATGAGTCTCTGGACTTCGACGCTTCCTTCATATGACAACTGTGTATGTACACCTGAGAGAGCTTCATCCGGCAATGTCGATTCACACCTACGCTTCCTTTGCAGCTCTATGCTGACGCCCACAGCTGCTGTTGCGTTCTACAGAGACGTCGTTGTCAGCCACTGATGCTGCCCTCTATTTCGATCAAAGCATGGGGAAGCCCTAGCTTGCGCCTTATGTCTCTCGCATGCGCAGTTCAACTCTTCGGGTAAGTCCATCTCACGATCTCACCTATCTCTCCACTCGTCAATTTATAGAATGAAGAAATCCCTTCATTTTCAGACTACTTCCTCTCCTCTCTGTTTAGTTTCCCCATCTCGTTTCTCTCCCCTCTACTCAGCTCTTTGATTTCTCTCACCTCCTTTCGTTTCCTCTACCTCCCGTAACTAAAACGGAATTGTTACAACATATACGAATGTTGATAAAGATTATGTTATCAAAAACAAGTTATAGTTATGAGTACCTGCTGATTCTGATATCCAGGCTATAAATTTCATTCAGGCACCACTAAAATATATAAGAATTTGAAATTGGTATTCCGATACTCATGTACGAAGAAAGATGTTGCTGAATATGTGTCAAAATATTAGACTTGTCAGATTGTAAAGGCTGAGCATCAAGGCCTAGTGGATTGCTATAATCGCTTTACTAGCTGACTTGTCAGATTGTAAAGGCTGAGCATCAAGGCTCAGTGGATTGCTATAATCGCTTTACTAGTTAAATGGAAATGAGAAGTAATTACTATGGTTTTCCTATAAGATTTCCGAGACTCAACTATGGTCTAGTATTTTGGTCTTTATTGATAGATTAACA